AATAACTAACATAGTAATGCTAGTTATCTCAGTTGATCTGAAACACTTATTTGTAGTTATATAAATATTTGATCACCTAGATATTAATGATTAATATTTTCAATTTGGGGGGGTCAACAAAATACTTTATTTAAACCTTAATTTAGGCAGGTATAACTGCAATCCCAGCACTCAAGACCGAGGCAGGAAAACTGAGAGGTCAAGGCTAGCCTGAGCTACATAGCAAGACTGCCCAAAAATAAAAATAAAAAGCAAAACCATGTGCTCCAGAGAGCTGAAAACAAATCTTTAAGTACTTTAAGAGAGGGTGGGGAAGAGGAGTCCTTGTGTGAGAGGAAACGGATAGCTCCCAGCCGGCCTTTGACATGTGCCGGACTCATTTCCCTAAAAGGCCAGGTGCACAGTGGGCAACATCAAGGTCCTCTGGATAGGCACTTGAGGCTGATGACACTCTCTAGCTCCTGGGATCACTGCAGCCACTGCCGACTCCAGCTAGTAGTCCCATAAGAAGCCATTTAGGAGCTGTCCCAGCCCCAGGCCCTGGATGCCTCATTGATGCCATGCCCTCTCAGCACCCACTCAGGGAGCCCAGTGGCTGGTGAGGACCCCAATGCCCACACCAGCACCCTCGGGGGCCGCTCCATCGGCTGGCCTGGAAGCAAGCCTGGCTAGCTGTGGGAGGTACTGTTCTTCTCTCCCAAGATTAGCTCAGACTTCAAACCCCGACCCTGCACCTGCCCTGGGTGCCAATGAAAACAGTGTGTCAGGAGCCTCCTTAGGTATCTAGAGGCCAGCTCCCGCGCGGCCGGCCGGGCCGCTCCCTTCCTCCGATGAGGTCATTGAATCAGGATGACAAAGCAAACAGTGACATGTGCTAGGACTTGTTCCCAGAATGATTCTAGGGATTCTCCGGCCCTTCCCGCCTCCCCACTTCAGAATGGCAGATCCGTGTGTGGGCAGCAAAACTGAACTGGACTCGGCAATTGGGTTCCTGGGAAGGGCAGAGAGAAGGAAGGTCCTGGATAGACAGACACTGACAGTGTAAATGCACTTAATGAGCTTCGACGTCCTTCCACCACATTCGAATCGGACTCAAGGCGGGTAGGAATTCCTTCCCCACTCCCACGGAGGAGGAGTGTAAGGTCAACAGTTCAGCGTCAAGTTGCCTAGGCAGACTCAGACTTGTAATTACAGTTTGTCAATAGTTTTGTCGCACGGTCCCACTCTACCAGTGTCTTAAACTTGACCTTGGGAACCTGCTTCCCACTCCTTGCCTTGCCGCATATCAACAACCGTGCCATTATTTAATGTTTTTCTTTCCTTTTGGGGGACACAGGGTCTCACATATAAAGCTGGCACCAAACTTCCTATTAACCCAGCATCCTCCGGTCTCCACGTCCTGGGCGCTGAGATTACATATGTGTGTGTGTGTGTGTGTGTGTGTGTGTGTGTGTGTGTGTGTGTGTGTGTGCCGCTATGTCCTCAGGGCTTTGTGGGTGCCTGGCTGGCATGTCACCACCTGAGCGAGCTCTTAACTGGACCCACACTGAAAGTTAACTTCAGGAGCTGGGAGGGCGAGGGGGGGGCTCAGCATTTTAGAGGGCTTCCTGTACAAGCAATGAGGACCCAGGTTTGAATCCCCAACCGGGCTCAGCTGCGTGTGCCTGTAAACCCCAGCATTTTAGGGGCAGGAACAGACGGATCTAGAGATCTAAGAGGTTCTGGTTTAGCGAGGCAAACAGAGAGTGCCTTTGGACAAGTCACTTATTTCCAGTCTGTTTCCTTCAACAATGGCAGTCATGCCCTCTCTGCCATTCAAGAATGACCGATGACAGATCTGGGGGGAGATGTGACAATCCTCTGTAAACCATAAAGGTATAACGGCACTATGGGATGACCCAAATTCTTCCACAGAATGTTCTCCTTGTAACTAGAGAATGACTCTCAAGGAGAAACCACAGGCCGGAAAGAGATTTGGGAAGCAGCCTCTGGACCTCGGCAATGTCCCTGGCCAGCGTGCTCTGTGTGTCCAGGTGTTGGGCTTGGAAAGACACTGCTGAGCTGGAGCAACTTGCTGCCCTTGACTCCTTTGGAATCCTGCTTTTCTGATCTTGAACTTGGTCTGTTCGGCAAGTTAGCGAAGCGGGAGTGGGTCTCTACTGCCCTCGTGTGGTCCCTCCCTAACATTGCTGCACGGGCTTCGGCAGAGATCTGAGTGACAAGGCCAACCTGACTGAGGGCGCCAAAGCCGACCCTCCAAATCAGCGTTTTCCAGGGCCAGCGGAAGACTTACACCCCAAATTAAGGTCAGCTTCTCGAACCCGGTGCTCCTTCATGGGATGGGGGATATTGACAACAGGGAGGCCATGCATGTGTGAGCGCAGGGACATAGGAAACGCTGAACTGCTGGCTGGCTGTGAACTGAAGCCTGCTTTAAAGGGAAAGTATTTTTAAAAATAACAGTGGAGAAAATAAAGACAATTTTATCAATCCCAATTTGGATAAGGCACTATCCGCTGGCAATTTCCTCTTAGTAAATACGTCTCTAGGTGCATCCATTCCTTGTTATCAGTGGGTGTCCAGGATCCCCTGCACATGCCCAGATCTGTGTTCAAGATGACACCATGATTGCCAGAAAAAGTGCTGAGAAAATAGTCTACTTCCAAAGAATAGGACTTTGAGGGGGAATGTTTGTTTTTGAGAGAGGGTCTCACGATGTAGCCCTGGCTGGCTTTGAACTCACGGGGATTTAGATTGTCAGGCACACCTAATCAGGTGGTGTAAAGGCATGTCTGGAGTCGGTACATGGAACCTGTGATGAGGGATTTTAAATCCTAAAGGAATTTGATGCTGGAGAACTTCCAGGTTTCAGAGCAAGGACCCCCTGCTTAAGGATGTAGCCGAGATGTGGAGCAGAGCCGCAAGGTAAATCTGTAACCAGTCGCGGGTACAGGAGGTATGGGTTAGGGAAGCGGCCAGTGGAATCTTTACCCGAACAATCTAAACCAGATTTGAGGGAGGACGACGCTGTGCTGGAGGGAACCACTTACCCTTCACATGCTAAGGTGGTTAATTCTTCTCTGCCATGTACTCTGGAGGAGAAAGATTTCTGGCCTCCTATGGAATAGAGGTCTCAGTTCCGCCGTAACTATGGTGTGCCAAACCCCTTAACCCAAAGCAGGGCAAGGTCTGCTTAGAGACCAGAAAAACGGTGAAAAGTTTTCTTAATGCAGCACCAAATGGGGACTCTCAGGATCAAAGAATGGCTAGTCACGAAAGGAGACCACACCAGTTCCATGCCATGATCCACTCCCCACAGGTCACAAAAGGACTTTATGTCATTTCCCAGAAGTTCAGCATCTGGTTGGACCAAATCCTGGATGGGAACTCAGCCTCAACACCCCCCTCCTTCCTCCAGGCTTTGATTCCTGCTTTTGATGGCCATGGCGCTGGCAGGCTTCCCTCTGGCTCCCCTTTCAGGAAGCCATCGACAGCTGCTGGCCCCCGTCACATCCTAGGAGGTGGTGGCAGCAGCATTTCGATGGTAAAACAACAGATTTCAGGTTATGCCTAAGGGTTGCAAAGTTAGTTCGGAAATGCGTTGTGTTTCCAAAGAGGGTTAACCCCTCCAGTTCAAGCGATGTAGTAACGGGTGAGGGCTCAGATTTCAAGGGGTTAGCTGCTCTTCAATTCCTATTTGTTTTGGAACAGTTCTAGGGGAAATGTTTACGGCAAGCACTCAACAAACATTACTGGAGTGTGCTGGGTACTTCGTTTAGCAAGAAGTCTCTGTTCTCAAAGATGTTTGGTCCCAAGAAGAGGAGCGCTAGCTTGCGCTAATACCGCTGTACTGTCTTTTCCCTCACAAAGCTTTGGTGATACCTGCCCACTTCACTGACCTGTCATGTCTGCTATTAGCTGCTACTGGCCTGACATCACATAAAGCCCCCGGGCTGAAGAGAACAAAACAAAATTTAGACATAAGCCTGGGTTGGGGGAGTATGGCTTGGCAGTTAAGAGCACTTACTGTCTTATGTTTTTGCTACTGGTGTGTTGAGACAGGGTTTCTCTGTGTAGCTCTGCTGTCTGGGAACTCACTCTGTAGACCAGGCTGGCCTCGAACTCACAGAGATCCACCTGCCTCTGCCTCCCGAGTGCTGGGATTAAAGGTGTGCGCCACCACCGCCTCACTTACTGCTCTTCTAGAGGGTAAGAGTTCAGTTTCCAGCAGCCACATCATGCAGCTCACAACTGCCTGTGATCCCAGCTCCGGGGGATGCAACGTCCTCTTCTGGACTCTGCAGGCATCCGCACGTGCAGCATACACTCACACAGAACAGGCCACACGGACTGCACATTTTTTTAAAAAGTGACCTTTTAAAGGGAATATGTGTTTCAGGGACCAGCTATAAAGGAAAACGACTCTCAACAAGGGCAGCCCCCCCCAACGAATACTAGGTAGGAAGTTCTTCTACCTCTAAACAAGTACAGCCTGGTCAGAGGGGCCAACCCAGCTGGGAAGCAGATGGTGATGGATACCAATACTCAATACACTTTCTCCTTCTCATACAGTCCACCTACGAAAGTTAGGAGAAGCCTGACCCTGCCATCTGAGGTCAAGACTGAGTACAAAGTCACTTCATTCCTTGGATGGAGGTGGGATGGGGCGGGAAAAGACGGAAGTGTGGGAAGGAAGCACCAAAAAGGGGCGGCGGTGGGGGCTGGTGGTAGTGGTGGGGTGGTGGGGGTGGTGGTGGTACATGACATATAATACCTTAGCAACTGTATACAAATTGTGGTTTTCAAAGCATCTTTATATACATTATATGGCCTCTCAACATTCTTTTTTTTTTTTTTTTTTTTTTGTTTTTTCCAGACAGGGTTTCTCTGCGTAGCTTTGCGCCTTTCCTGGAGCTCACTTGGTAGCCCAGGCTGGCCTCGAAGTCACGGAGATCCACCTGGCTCTGCCTCCCGAGTGCTGGGATTAAAGGCGTGCGCCACCACCGCCCGGCCCAACATTCTTTATATACATTATATGGCCTCTCAACATCCTTTATATACATTATATGGTCTCTCAACATCCTCAGGGTAGGAGGGGTGTTTAGAATGTTATGTTAACTAGGTAAAGATGTGTTACATTTGTTTCTGCTGTGGAATATGACGCTAACTGTGTGCAGGTGTGTTACATTTGTCTCTGATGCCTTTGTTAATGATATAAAGGTGTGTGACTTTTGTTTATGCTGCATGTGTTTAACGATGTAAAGATGTGCTGCATCTGTTCCACCTGGCCTGCCTAAAGCACCTGATTGGTCTAATGAAGAGCAAGGCCTGTGCTCATGATGATAGAGATGTGTCACAGACCGAAGTCCTAATGCCCAAATGAAACGAGCAGATCTTGACAACTGTCTTGTTGTGAGGATGCTGAGACGTGTAACGTCACATGTACATGCCACGACACATATGTGGAAGTCGGAGGACTATCCATGGAAGCCAGTTCTCCCGTTATACAGTGTGGGTCCCCGGGAGTGAATCCAGGTTGTCAGACCTGATGGTGAGTGCCTTTACACACTGAGCCATCTCAACCACCACCACCCCCTTTTTTTTTGAGTCAGGGTATCCCTAAAGCTCACTGAAGATAGTTTGGTTGGCTAATAAGCTTCAGGGATCTATCTGTCTCTGCCTCCCCAGGGTTGGGGTCACAGACACAGGGCCACCAGGCCTTACCGGGTGTGACATCAGTGTTAACTGTCAACCGCACAGCGTCTAGTATCGCCTAGGAGACCAGCCTTTCGGCACATCCGTGAGGGGTTATGCTCACTATGCTACTGGGGTGGGAAGACACACTAGAAAGAGGTGGCACTATTTCCTGGACTTGGGTCCTAGACAGTAATAAAAAGAGAACCGGGGACCGGAGAGATGGCTCAGTGTGTAAACACACTTGCTGCCAAGCCTGAGGACTGGAGGTTGAGGACCGGCTCCCTCCAATTGCCTCACACCAATGCCATGCTCACCACACACAACAGATAAAAACGTAGTTCAAGGCAGGAGAAGGCTGGCTGGGCCCATTCACTGCTCTCTGCTTCCAGACCCCAGGTGCGCTGGGACTCCACCTCGGAATCCCGCTGCTTTGGCTCTCCGTCAGGATGGACAACGCTCCTCAGCCAGAAACCAAAATACACCCACCCTTCCTTAGGCTGTTTGGTCAGGATTTCCACCACGGCAACAGGGAAAAGACAGACAGACAGACACCTGGCTTTCCGTGTGGATTTTGCAGACTGAACTCGGGTCCTGGGCTTGCACACAGGCACGTTAGCGATTGAGCCATCTCTCCAGGCCCCAGTGCTAGGATGTCCACACTTTTTACTTTAATCCATGCATCATTACTTCCCCTTTCTCTAAATATCCTCAAGATGACCATCTTTCATTGACTATTTTCTCCTCTCTAATGGTATATGTCTATATACACATATATAATGAGAAAATAATTTTGCTTTGTTCTGTTTTGTTTTTGAGACAGGGTGTTAATCCGTAGCCCAGGCTGGCTTTGAACTTGTGGTAGTTCTCCTTCAAGTCCTTGAGTACTGGAGTTTCAGGCGTGAGTCACCAATGTCTGGTAAGAAATGTTTTAAATAAAATCTTCAACATTGTTCTGTGAGATTTTTGAAATTAAAGTAATACCTGACTCTACAACATTCTATAAAAGGCCGTGGAGATATAAATTCGAAGTCCCACAGAGATGCTTCAGCTGTGCTGAATATCAAAGTGGACAGATTGATTAGACTTCCTGATTTCAGATTGGGATACTGAGGATCCAGAGATGGTTATCTTGTATTATCTTGAGTCTCCTTAACAGCTGTCAGGTAAAACTTCTAGAATGTACTCTAAGCAGACCACCAACGCCATTATCTTACCTACTCTCTCCTGTTGCTATGATAAAACATTCTGATAAAAAAAAACTTAAGGGAATAAGAGTTGCTTTTGCTCATAGTCCAAGGGGACAGTCCATCCTGCCAGGACAGGAAATTACAGAGGCAGGAGCTTGAGACAGCTGGAGACTCTGTACCCCTCGTCAAGAAGCAGATGGTGATGAATGCTCAATACACTCTCTCCTTCTCATCCAGTCCAGGACCCCAGCTCAGGGAATGGTGCCTCCCACAGTGGGCGGGTCTTCCAACCTTAATTAGAAAGGTCAAAATAATCTCCCCTAGGCATGCCCTCAGGCCAACCTCCAGTGATTCTAGACCTTGTAAAGTTAATAATCAAGACCTAATCTTCACATTACCAGCCCCAAAGCTATAAATGTCATCAGATAGTCCCTGAAATTTATAACCAAGTTTTCACCAAATTGCTTTAACCTGATCCACCCATCTATAAATTTGGTAAATGCATTGATTCATGACTTTCTCTCATTCTGTAACTAGAAAAAAACTCATAAAGCCACTTCCATGGTGAAACATCATTTGGCACAACCTCAACATGAGGCCATGTTGCTGGGCCTCAATCATTCATGTTTGGCTCAGAATAAAGTATTTCTTAGTTTCTTTGAGGTGAGACTATGTTTTGCATCAACAGTTTTGGCACCCAACGCTGGGTCCTGTGCTGGTCAGTTTTCTATCAACTTGACACAAACTAGAGCCATTTGGGAAGAGGAACCCTCTATTGAGAAATGCCTCCATAAGATGTGCCTGTAGGTGGGGGCTGGAGAGAGGGCTCAGGGGTTAAGAGGACCGGGGTTCAATTCCCAGCACCCATACAGCAGCTCACAACTGTATATAACTCCAGTTCCAGAGATCCCACACCCTCACACAGACAAATATGCAGGCAAAACACCAATGCACATAAAATAAATATTTTTTAAAGATTTGCCTGTAGGTAAGTCTGCAGCACCTTTTCTTGATTGATTGATAGATGTGGGAGGGACCAGCTCACTGTGGGAAGTACCACTCCCAGGCTGGTGGTCCTGGGTTCTATAAGAAAGCAGGCTGGGCAAGCCATGAGGAGTAAGCCAGGAAGCAGCACTCCTCCACGGCCTCAGCATCAGCTCCAGCCTCCAGGTTCCTGCCCTGACTTTCCTCAGTGATGGGCTGTAATATAAACTGTAAGCTGAAATAAACCCTCTTCACCCCAAGTTATTTATGGTCATGATGTTTCATCACAGCAATAGAAACCTTAACTAAGCCAGGCCCACAAGATAATCCACTTTCACTGGTGAAATCAGCAAGATCAGTGCTAGGTTCCCACAAGGGTTCTGTGTCCAGTTGTCTGGGTCGCCTTGTCAGGTGGACGCTGGCAAGTTCTTTCTGGGGCGTGGGCCTTCCCGATGGTTTATTCTGAATCGGTTGTGTAACCTCTCATTGCCCAGCATTTGGATGGAGCACTGGGCAGTTCTGAGAACGTTTGTTTGTTAGCATTTGGCCTTTGCCCCCTGCTGGTCCTCAAGTCTCTGTTGTTTTGTGTTTTTCCTGTATCCTCTCTCATTTTTTAACGACCTAGCTCCTTGCACCTTAGAAATTCTACGACTGTGTGATCATAAAGACACGAAGACAGAGGCATTTATTCCCTCCAGCCAACACGGTGTAGGTGGCAGGGGGAACTCCCCAGGATGTGTGACGACCTCACGGGAAGACCAAGACCAAGGCAACCCACCCCAGTCCTGGTTTGTAAGAAATCTTGTTGGCTCCGTTCGGAAGACACACAGAAGGGCGGATCATCCAGTGCCCTGAGTCCCTCTCGATCCTGAGGAGGTGCAGTGAAGACCCCAGGCACAGCAGGAAAGAACCTGACTTAGGAACCAGAACTGAAGGGGCCTCTCATAAACAACATGCAAATTCGATCCAAAATGCAAATTCCACCAACCTAGAAGGTTGGCTGCAACTTTCATGGGGGAAGAAAAAACATTAAGATGGGAAATTGAGGAGAAGAAAATGTTTGGAGGAAAACACCATGTGGTGCTCCAGCTGGTTTCATGTTTGATCATCACGGTAATTTAACTTGCAAGTATTTGATTAAAAAAAAGGGGGTGGTCAGAGTAACTTTTGACATACCTAAATTGTCTGTTTTTCTCCTTATTAAACTGGAAGTTCTAGGTGGCAGAGCAAAAGATCCTAAGCGGAGAGCCTGCTCTACCTGGAATTTAAATGGATATAATAAAAGAAATTATGAAATTTTCAATTTAAAAAATGCTATCAAAAACGCTAAGGATGGTTAAAAAAAAAAGAGGAAATTTGTGGTGATATTTTATTTGTACACCCCAATAAAGCTTATCTGGGGATCAGAAGAAAAAGCTAGCCACTGGGGGCTGGAGAGATGGCTCAGAGGTTAAGAGCACTGACTGCTCTTCCAGAGGTCCTGAGTT